AGTGAGAGCTCACAAACCATTACGCCACTGGTTTGACCGTTAATAGAACTAATTCTATTTGCAAGTGGTAAGACGTAACGGACACACTGTAATGACGTAAGGTACACTATAATGGCGTAAGTACAGAATAATGATATGGCGTACATTATATTAAGACGTGCGTAGGCCTACAGTATACTGACGTGGCACAGATAATGACGTGGAAACAGCAAATGATTCGAATGACGTTCGCTAACGACTTGGACAGGGGTTGGCACTGTAGTTAACAGTAATGCTATAGCAATGATGATGCTAACTGCAGTTTATTCCACATTGTAGGCCTATATATGCATAGAAATGTGATTTTGCCATGTCTTTGTTCGGATTTATGAAATTGAAACTGTATAGCGAGGTACGTAAGTTCAAATAAATTGGTCAGAGAAATAGAAGAGCCTCAAATGTTAAACAGGGATGGCGCCAGGATTTGCCCGACGGGGGCGAGGTCCCCGGCGGAGGGGCCCGATGCCCCTGACGAGGGGTCAGAAAAGCAAAGTGGGCGTGGTCGAGCTTCGATTAAAATGTTTCGAATTGGTCGGCTGCCACCCCCCACCCCCGGCTCCTGCTGGTGCTGATGTTAAAATATCAAAAGGCGTATACGCTATGCCAATTTTAAGTATTTCTAAGATAAATTTCTGAAGTTCGCTAAGCATGGATTGAGATTTAGCAGATGAGTTAAACACAAATAAATATGAATGTCATATATCAAATCATATTTGCTCATTCTGGTAATATTAGTAAACTCTAAATTAAAAGAGGACCGAGGACGGACTTTTGAAATCGGCGCAATCCACAGATACATACCGGAGAGACAGTTAACAGTGATCGGTAACATTGTGATCGGGAAAGCATTATAAGATGATTTTGGTAATGTCATTTAAGTAAATTAAATAACATTACAAATCTTATCATGGTATTTATGTTATGTAAATCCAACTAAAACAAACATTTTTTCATGAGTAGCGTAGTAAAAGGATAAATTAAAAATAGTCGGTAAATCACTTAAGTCAATATTTTAATTAATGGTTTGACGGGTGCTAATTGGAGAAAGTATCACAAGATAAGTTTATTTCAAGGCGGGCAAGTCCAAGTAGCAAAGTTTGAGAGCGAGTGTTGACAGAAAATGTAAATACTGTAAGTGTTAAATAATTTAGTACAATGATTTTTTTTACTTATTATTCTTTTTTTTGTGGATTTATTAATGCAAACAGCAAAAAACTAACATCATATGTGACCAAATTGTTGTGAACGAATCAATCTTCATAAACAAAATAATTAGAACGTTTTCGGCGAGTCTAGTATATTTAATATAGAACCTATGTAAATAGCAGATCGTATCCAGAAATTTTGAATATAATGGATAATTTCAACATGGAGGTATAAAATGATATCAATAATCACAAGTCAAGGTAACTGGAGAATGGAACCGGGCATGCTCTTTCACTACTTTGGCCACAATATTAAATCTTAAAGTTAAAGTTCTTAAAGATGGTAATTTTAAGAATAATCTTGAAAGGGAAATTGTAGAGCCAAATTATATTACTAAACTTGACTGCATTAATTTAGGGGGTCGTGAAAAAGGGCGAGCCAGCGAGTCATGCGAGCCAATGCGCGAGCCATGCGAGCCAGCGAGCCATGCGAGCCATACATTTTAAATCTTTTTTATTTTTTACCGGGGAACAGCTTTGCAGTCCAGTCATGCGCAGTACATACACTTTTGGATCGTCAATCCGAAAGTATACAGCGCTGATAGATGTTGTTAAAATACAGATATACAAATACATGCATACAGAAAATACAACGCATTTTTTTAAAATGCGTTGTATTTTTTGTCAACTTACGTCCATTTGGTTCTATTATCAAGGATTTCAGTTCAAGAAGATTACCAGTTTCTTTATTAAGGAAATATGAAAAGATTACTCTTCGTTTGAACAAAGCCGAATTGGATTTTAATTTTTTACATATATATATATATATTTATATTTATTATATATCTATATATTTATTTTTATATACTTATTTGTGTATATATATTTATATATTTATTTATATATATACTGTATTATTATTATAAATGTACTGTAATTATTTATATATTTACTTATATTTTTTATATATTTGTTTGTATATTTGTATATTTATTTATATAATTATTTATTTATTTGTATATGTATTTATATAATTATTTAATTTTTGCATACAGATATATATATATATATACTGTAATTATTTATATATTTATTTATTTAAATATATATATATATATTATTTTATATATACTGTATTTATTTATATATTTCTATATTTATTTGTATATTTATATATATATATATATTTATTTTTATATAATTATTTGTGTATATATATTTATATATTTATATATATACTGTATTATTATTTTAAATATACTGTAATTATTTATATATTTACTTATATTTTTTATAAATTTGTTTGTATATTTATTTGTATATTTATTTATATAATTATATATTTATTTGTATATGTATTTATATAATTATTTAATTTTTTT